AAAGTCCAGTGTCAGCCACCGATGGCTGAAGCGTCGCTCAACGTGTTAAATAAAAACATTTTGATGGTTTGAAAAAGTTATTTTCGTTAATTTTGTTTCTGAGATTATAAAAAAGTAGAAGAAATACAGTTCTATCATTAAAAATTACTCAATAAATATATTTATTGATATTTACTTTTCCAACTACCATTCTCTCATCTTCAATCAATCGATACGTTTTTTCTGTTTCGATGGCGTCAAATGGATTTAATTTTTGATCCTTATTCAAGCCATCTTCTGAATTTTTGGAGGAAGTTGAATCTGTTGATATGTACCTGCAGAGCATTCTAAAAAATAAAATGTAAATGTAGTTTTTACTGTAATTGATGTAGTAATTGATTATGTAATTGAAATATGCTACTTCTTGGTAGCAGATTAAGAATAAATTATTGATTTTAAAGTTACTGTGTAGCTAAATTTTAAAAATTCAAATAATGATGGATAAAATTTAAAGTTCTTGAAATGTAATAGAAAATTTTAAAATAATATTGTTCTTGAATTCTATGCATAAAATATAATTATAATCACGTTTAAAACAATTTTTCAGCAGCACAAACTTTCAATTTGTTATAAAGAAATTTAATTTTCTGCAATATTTATTACATATAGAGTTTCGAGAACTAATAATGGAAATTAAACACAAATTTAAGGGATTGTATTAAATAATATATACTTCCTAGTAGAAAATACAAAATTTTTGAGTTTCATAAATAAAGCAGTAATATTGGAAAATAAAGTTTTAGTTTTTAAACAAAATTTCTTCTATATTAAGCGACCATAAAATAAAAATAATGCTAAAAACGTAATCTTTTTTTAAAAAAAATAGTAAAAATCAACAAAAATTCTACAGTTTTGAATCTCTTTTTTTCAAGAGAATCATGGTCAAGTAAAAATGAAAGTAGAAATTTAAAGAAAAAAAATTGTAGACGAAGTTGCAATGGTAACAAAGTGCACAATAAAGTAAATTTTATAAAACCGTATACTGTAAATCAAAATCTATACCAATTCAATAAAATATTTTGAGGGAGCAACGAAGCGAGCGGGGGGTAGTGCTCCCCCTAGTAGTAAATATTTTATAATCAGTAATACTATTGTTTTTTATTCTTGTTTTACAATCTTTGTCGTTTACTAGAACAAATATTTTCGTTTATTAGAATTATTAAAATTAAATATTCGTCTGAAATTTTAAACACATATCGACTTTATCTCGGAAAAGAGTTACTTGTTTAAAAAATGATTTAAAGTTTAAGTTTCAATTTTTAAAAAAAATAGTTTTTAACGAAATGAAATTAGAATCAATGAACAAAACAAAACTGAAAAATTCCTCCATAGTTACTTTTTATTTTCATCTGTATTTTCCTCTAAATTCTTTTGGCTAGTGTGTTCTTGAATAAAATCAGTGAAAGATTTATTTTGACTTAACAAATCTTGATAAGAGCCAACTTCTTCGATTCTACCATCCTTCATGCTTATAATTATATCCACTTTATGCAGCATTGAGACATCATGGGTAACAAGAATTCTGGTCTGGAAATATTAGACCACAATATGAAGTTCTGGGCGAAAGAAGGTACCAAATGACATTTTATTGAAATTAGCTAAAGTTTGTTGTTATTTTACAGAATCTAATTACTTTAAAGAGCAGTAAAGTTAATTTTTTGGAGTAAATTGAGATCTTTTTACTGTCGGAGAAATTTTAATGATTTTATGTACTAATTTAAAAGGCTATGTACTAATTTATGGGCGAAGAAAGGTTTCGAATAACATTTTATTGAAATTAACTAAAGTGTGTTGTTATTTTACAGAATCCAATTATTTTAATGAGGAGTAAATAGAATTTTTTTGAGTAAATTGAACTCTTTTTACTGTCGGAGAATTTTTAATGATTTTATGAACTAATTTAAAAGGCTATGTACTAATTTATGGGAGCAGGAAGGTTCCGAATCACATTCTATCATAATTAAATAAAGTGTATTGCTATTTTACAGAATCTAATTTTTTTAATGAGAAGTAAATTGAATTTTTCGGGGTAAATTAAGCTCTTTTTTATTGTTGGACAAATTTTGATGATTTCTTGTATATAAAATATGCTTGATATCTTACTTTTTTTCTCAGTAATCCATCGTTTCCAATGATGTCATCAAATAATGCTTTGCGAACGTGAACATCTACTGCACTGAGTGTGTCATCCAGAAGGAAAATATCTTTGTCTTGATATACAGCACGTGCCAAACTGACACGCTGTTTTTGACCGCCACTCAAATTTACTCCCTACGAAACACAAAAACATACTTAAAAAGGTACATTTAAAGCAAGTAGAACCACTTGAACTCGTTATACTCGAAATTAAGATGAACATTACTCAAATTAAATTATCTGATGATTGATGACCGCACCTGGAAAATAATGGTCCTCAACATTAAGGCAATTAAACTTTTGTTAAATAGTTCAGATTTTCTTTTATTAAGTTGTAATCTTCAAGTGTAATGGTTGGAACTTTATGATGATTAATAGTTTGAACGATATTTTAAATTATAAAAAACAGATAAAGAAGCTTCCTCTGAATCTATTTTAAGCAGATTTATATCTTTGACACATAAAATATGAGAGGCAGCTGAAATTTTGAAAATATACGCTGACTAAACTATTGGAACTATATTCTCCAGGATGTTACTACCTTCAGAGTTTGGTGTTTGAAAACTGAATCAGTGTGAATAAAAGGTATGTTTCACATCTGATTTGTTTTTAGTTTGAATGTCGTTTGCACTTGTTAATCAACATCTTTAAGATCTAACCTTCAAACTATTAAAATTATATATCAAATAAACAGCCGATCAATAAATTAAAATTGAAACAGAAAAGTTCAGTTTTTTTTTTAATTTTGTACGTACACTGTTTATAATAAGGGGGGGGGGGACAGTACCAAAGCTGACAAATCTTTCATTTTGATTGGAAATTTCTTCTTTTTTTGTGATCACAAAAGAATATTCTTTTCTTTCTTCTTATTCAATAAGTTTCTAAGTGTCTTTAAGAAAGAAAATGCTGCAGCATATAATTAATTCTACTAAATAACTACAAAATAAAAAATGATTGTGGGAGTTTAATGAATTACAATTAAACAAGGTACCCATACAATTAAACAAGATTGGTCTCAAGAATATAAACCGGAGCCAATAGCTGTGCTGGTGTATATTAACAATTCCCACAGCAGCCTATTTTGCACCAGAGAACCATGGAGGTTAAGGCTCCTCAATTTGGTAATCAACGGAATGATTGTAGAAATGTGATCAGCATTACTCACAAGCCACCTTTACTTAGTAGACAAGCTGGTACCCATCTATCTGAAGCTGGATGCGCATCAAGCCACCAGCACTGAAGAAAACTTTTTAAAAAAATTTTCAAATCAATTAGAAGGAACTTTACCTTTTCCCCAATTTCTGTGTTGTCACCAGCAGGCAAAATTTCCAAATCAGGCCTCAAACAGCAAAGATTTAACACCTTATCGTATTTTTCTTCAACTAAATGTTTCATCATCAAAATATTTTCTTTTACTGTGCGATTTAAAATCCAGGCTTGTTGTGGAACGTAAGCCAAGCTACCCTGGAAAATAAATTATGAAATATAAGTTAAACTTGACAATTTTCTTTATTTTTATATGAAAAAACATAATTTAATTCTACTTTATAAATTTTAAAGCTTATTATATTTATATTTTCAAAATAAAAAATTTGCATTTTGAAGTTTATTGTCGTAATAGTGTACGAATGGTACATATAATTTTCATCAAAATCAGTTCCTACTATCTAAACTCATATTTGTGAAAATTGCAACACCATAAAGGAATCGTCATAATTGAATTAAATTTAATACACAGTTGAGTGGTTGTGGTACAAATAAATGACTAAACTTTCAAAGCAAACGAACAATAATAAGAGATCGAATTATTTTGAGTAGCCACCAAGCGCCGCAATAAGTGCTGCTACACGACGTGTCATGGAGTCAAGCAAATTTTGAATGTCTGTCTGAGGAAGAGCATTCCATATTGTTTGTATGCATACCCAAAATTCGTCTGTAGAAGCAACATGACGAGGATCACGAGCGAGATGCCGACCAGCGAAATCCCACACATGTTCAATCGGCGACATATCCGGGGAATACGCTAGAAAGGGAGAAGATATGCCTGCCACGATGCAAGAAAGGCTTGAACAGTCCTAGAAATATGAGGGCGGGCATTGCCCTGTTGAAATACGGCACCTGGCAAGGCTTGAAGGAAGGGAACAACTTGCGGCTGTAGAACTTCCCCGATGTACCGGTTGATGTTCAAATTACCCACAATTCGTAGCAATTGAGATCGTCCATGATATGCTATGGCACCTCAGACCATAATTCCGGGTGTTTGCCCACTGTGGCGTTCGATAATGTACCCCGGAAGGTGGCGTTCACCGGCATAACGTCTGACACGAATGCGGCCATCATGGTACCACAAATTAAAGCGGAATTTGTCAGAAAACACGACATGCTGCCAATAAGCCCGCCAGTCGCTAAGCTGATTGGCCCGTTGTAGCCGCAGGCGGCGATGGTTTAGCGTGAGGGGGATCCTGTATGAAGGAGTCCTTGCGCGCAGTCTACGCTGCAGCAGACCTCTACGAATTGATGAAGCACACAATGAAACACCTGTAGCTATTGACCACTGTGCTGTCAGTTGTCTAGAGGGAGTCGTACGGTCCATCAGCGCCATACGGACCGGGTGTCTGTCATCGCGAGCTGACGTGACATTTCGGGGTTCACTCCCGGATTTTCGAGCTGTCCGACACTCGTCCGTCCACTGCTTCCAAACACGCATCACTGTGCTGCTGTTACGCTGCACACGAGCGTTACTACACGATAAGACAATCCAGCTTCACGAAGGCCGATGATTCTCCCCCGTTCAAACTCCATAAACTGTTGAAATCTTGCTCTCTTTCATCGAAGAGGCATAGGTAACGAATAAGCTGACGCTTACCACTAGCGGATAACCACCGATAACCATACACGCCTCGCTACAGTCGTCTATTTATAGGGATCCATCCGCCGTTCAGAGGGCGTTGCTCAGGATACGCATGCGCTACGGGTCTGAAATTCTAATCATTTGCATATCATGCTCTACTTTGCATTTCCTGAAAATTTCAGCTCACTCGCGTGAGTCCTTCATGGTGTTACAATTTTCACAAATATGAGTTTATTTTATAAACGGTAGCCGTTTGTCTGGTTGGACATTTGGCTGCTTCATTTGTTTGCTTGTTGACTACTGGTCACCTCATGTGCTTGTCGGCAGTTTTAAATTTCTGTCTGGTACAACCACTACATTTATTCATTGTAATTGGTGAGCAAAGTTGAAATCCGAAGCCTGCAAGAAGACTATCATGCAGTAGCAACATGTATCTAAGTGCATCACAGTTCTATTCATATTTATTTGACAACCTGGATGTTAAAATATAATACTACGCTTTTTGTAAAATATTTCATAAAGTGTTCGATAATAAAACACTGAAGCTCTCTGAATTTTAGTAGATTTTGCCAACATTTTAAGAGCTTCACCACGACAGTAATAAAATAGAGGAGCATTTTTATATAAACATTTGAACCATTCACGTGTAGTGGAAAGAAAACTAACTTTAATTCCAATTTACTAAATAAAGGATCACACATTAAAACATAATTTTTGCTACCACTAGAAGATATTTTCTAAGTAAAAGCAGAAAGTTGACAGCTTTGTAGATGTCACCACTTGATTTACAAAGCTTCACTCTATGATTCACACGCGACCTACTGTAGTTACAAAGTCTTAATAGACTATACTGGCAGAGCAATCATAAATAAAGAAACAATAGCCTTCCTGATGATCGACATATCCAAAGCATTTGATAAAGTATGGCACACTGGTACAATATATAAACTCATACAGCTGAATTTTCCACCCGGCATAATCAAACTCCTATCCTGCTATCTTTCTAATAGAACATTTCAAATCACCATCAAAAACAAAAAATCCACAAAGAGAAACATCACAGCCGGAGTACCACAGGGCAGCATTCTGGGACCGATATTATACATATTATACACTTATGATTTTCCTATAAACAAAGCCGATTATAACAGCATAACAGCCTATTACGCAGACGATACCGGTATTATTATTAAATCCAGAAACCCAAATCATGCTCTTCAAAAACTACAAGACCATATAGACGAAATAGAAGACTGGTGCTTAAAATGGAAAACTGCAGTAAATGCTGGAAAATCACAAATATTAATTATACAAAAAAGAAGAATTAAAATACTTCCACAACTTCAACCAAAAATGTTCAACATACCAATACCAATAGTTAAAAAAGCAAATTATCTTGGCCTTATAATCAATAGCAAACTCACCTGGAATGATCACATCAAAAGCACAATATTAATCCAAAATGCAGCAATAATAGCCATACAACCATTAATATATAATCAGAATATGTCACTTAAACTAAAGAAGCTACTATATACAGCAATGATCCGCCCAATACTTACCTATGCCTCACCTGCCTGGACAACGATACCTCAACATCTACTGAAGAAATTAAACCAATGCCAAAACAAGATCCTTAGAAAAATAACCTGTGCAAGATGGTTCATCCGGAATACCAATATACATGCAGACCTCAAAATACCAACTCTATCACAGCATATATACAAGCTAAACGCAGATTTTTTCGATAAAGCCATAGAATGTAAAACAGCAAATTTTAATGAAATCTTTAAATTTGAAAATTATATCAAAGATAAAAACTACAGACCAATAGCTGCACATTTCACCTCCGACGCCTCATATCATAACTATCAAAACAAATAATTTCATCAACCTTTCTGAAAATAACGTTTACTCATGCTGATACAATTCTGAACAACTCCAAAATCAAACAAACACAGTTTAGAGCAAGCTGCTCAATTTATTTTTGATTCCTTTTTAGTTATTCAAGCAAAGAGCTTGAAACATTCATAAAAGCAACTCCATTGCCTGCTTACCTCATTGCTCAACCAAAACTGTTCTAAAATTCCAGATGAATGGGATAGGGGCCGCTTCGCGGCCCAGGTGCCCAATAAAATCAAAACACTAGGACTAGTAGTTACAAAGTCAGATGTGACTTACTTAGTGGTGTTTTACCTCAATTTCTAAATTATTCATAAATAGTGTTATAGCTAAACAACTTGAAATTAAATAACAAACCAAGAATTAAATCTTATAAACATAAATTTTGCAATCACAAAAAATAAACAATTTCTAATATCGCTATAAATGCATTTTTCTACCAATTGATTTTTCAAAGAATCAAGTGGATGACGGAAGAAATTTTTTTCTTTCTCTTTTTTGAAAAGGAAAAAATTTACAATATTTACTTTTACATCTATGGATCCACTCATTCTATTGATATCTCCCAGCAATGCTGATAGTAATGACGATTTACCCGATCCTACGGATCCAATAACAGCAACCAATTTGCCTTTAGGAATATGCAATTCGATGTCATGTAAGGTGCACTCCTCTTCTCCTGGCCATTTGAATGACGCTCTCCTTATCGTCAAAATATCTCCTGTTGGATAGATTCTTATGTTATCTACCGCTTAAATTGTTTCCTGCAAGAGTGTTTTAGGGTTTCCATGGTCAGGAAAAATTTTCAAAGGGGTAATGAAAGTGATATATATCTAGATGTTTTAAGTTATCAATTAATATTTAATTTATAGGAAATATACATGGGTGTGCAAACAATGACTCGTGGATAGTTTCGTAATTCACAAATTAGGTAAATGCAAGCATTTTTCAGTAGTCTTGCAAAATCTTAGCTACCTGTTTTTTCCAGGTCATGAGAAAAACGTTTTATGCCAAAATTAAAATCAAAGTACATTCTCACTAAGCAGGGAAATTTAGTGGTGGTGAAGAATCGTTCAAGATGAGCTGAATCTTACTTCGTTTGCAAAAACTTGAAAAATTGAAAACTTTAGACACAGATGTAAACAGTGTCTGGGTCGAAGTGATCACAAATTATAAAACATCACGTTTTTATAAGCTTGCCACTACTATCCTCTGCCATTTTAAATGTTAAAAAAAAATTTTTTTAATTACCACCTATCTCATTGTACCTTAAGCATGTTCCTTAAAAAATAAAAAGTAAAATAAGCATTTTACTAAATCTCTTTTGAAACCGGTCATTTCATATCACAACAATATGAAAAAAGCTATTACCAGTCAGATGTTTTACATGAGCTCATATGAAAAAATTTATAAAAAAACGATAGGCGATTTACTTTAAACTATAAAACAAAGAAAAAGTACTTAACTGTAACTTTAATTTTATAATATCAGCTACCCCATTTTATAGAACTAAATAACATTACTTATATTATTAACATAACGTCGCGGTAAATGAGATATCTCGTATCGTCTTTAAAAATGGGAAATGTCATAACTCTCTTACTTCTAGTTGCATTTTAATATGAGGCTAGGATCCTTGCTTAACAAAATGAGTGGTTGTTCATAAATATTTCAGTTTAATGGGAATTTTATTACTTTTACAACTATTTCGGTACATCATAAACTCATCATTATATATATAAAAAATAGGCATCGTATGCCTGCCTGTTTGTTTCACAAANATAGTTACCTTCATCTGGATGATTTCCGATAGCACCTGGGTTAATGTTCTCAGCTGAAAAATACTTCCTCAGACGTCCTAGAGCTATTCTAGTCTTGGGAAAGAATGAAAAAAATTATGTATTCACAGTGAAAATATATGCTAAAAATGTTTAAATGTTTGAATACGCCTTAAAAATTAATTCAAAAATTGTTACTAAATTACATGAAGAATAAGCGAGAGAAAGCAGAATATTGTTTTTTTATTGTTTAAATCTATCTATATTTTATGCGTATGCAATGTTAAGAAAGCCATGCTTTTCTGCACTTTTTCATTACTGAATAACTCCTCAGTGTTTTTCTTCCAAAAGTATATCTTTTAATTTCAGATATAGTTCTTTTAAATCTCTTTAATTTAATTTATTTGAAGGGGAAAATCTGCAGTACTGTCTCGAAAACGAGGAGGGATGTAATTTCTAACATAGCAATTTGTATGTAACTTTGGTCATTTTTTCCTTGATCAAGTTCCCATTTATTCTCAAGATCCTGTTTATCTTCATGTCAGTAAAAACCTTTACTTACAATAAAGTTGCTTTTTTTTTTTTTTTTGACAGAGACTATGCTGTTTTGAGATAAGCTAAATATGAAAAATTGCAGATTTTATACTTTTTGAAAAATTGGAATGCCTTATCACTAGCTCAGGAGAGCACTGGGACGCAAAGTTTGTCCAATTGATGAACTTTAATATTTAGTATTAAAATTAATAAATATTATTATATTAATAATGGTATGCAAGAACCTATTAAATAAAAAAAAAACCTTTGACGCTTTTTTTATATTATTGTGAAGGATACTTTTAAGAAAAAATCTACTTCTAAATCTGTTTCTGCATGGGAAATATTTATTTTTTTATCTAATCTATCTCATTTTACCCTTTTGATATTTGGGTGTTATGAAAAAAGAAGTTTTGTATTTACATTTAAAATAAGCGGATATTTTTTTATGTAAACCTCTACTTTTTTTGGAAGATCATACATTTCAGAAGCTGCATAACAAGGTTCATATATATCTAGAAAAACATGAAAAATAACAGTAGTATTAAGAAGAAATATCATTTTTTATTATGCTTGTATCTTACAGATTATAAGTTTCTTGCGAACCCTGAATAAAGTCTAATCATAAATAATTAATTATATTATAACATGAATGCCAACTGCTTTGCTCTTTGCAAAATGTGTTATAAAGTGTTAAACAATTAATACCTAAACTGGGTAGCTAGCTGTGCTAAAAATATATGTAAAAATTGTTAATATTTTACGATAAAATAATGTTTAAAAAAATATTATTTTAGTAAACAGCTTATTTAAAAATCAAAGACGTTTATAATCAGAGCTAAATATTTCAAACAAATCGTCCGAATTATTTTCTGTGTTTAATAATACGCAGGGGTTCTTTTTTTAAAAAAAATTCGGAATTAATCTAGAAATTTTTTTTTATTGCAATAACTATAAGTTTTGGGGTGCCACTTGAAAAAGAACACACCGGCTTGTATATGCACGTGTAACAATAAATAAATTAATAAAGACGTTCTGCTTTAACTTAATAATCAGAAACAATCGTATTTCTTTACCGCTCTTAATTAAATAAAAAGATTCCCTAAATGGTAAAACTGTGGTGGGTTCTAATAAATTACGTATTTTTTCTAAAAATTTAAAGTAACTCTTTGACTGGGATAGCATGGTTGATAGGGACTCACGTTTGTGAGAATGTGAGTTTGAATCCAGCTGACGAAGACTCCCCGTGTCATGGTGACTGCTGCACATTAAATCTGTCGGGTAACTAAGTCCTCCATGTTTCCATAGCAAATTATACCACTCGGGGTACTGGATTGGAGATTGATTATTTTCAGGTTCAGGTCAAAACTACGATCTTTGGATGAATGGATGTATCAATGGGCCAGCCCTAAAAACGGGTGTGACAGATGGGTATGGCAGAAGTCGAATTTTTGGCAATAGATGGCACCACTGGAAAAAAAGAACAATCGCACCCCCAGTGCCCTAATGGCCTACGACAAAGACAACAGAAGAAAAATTTTAACTATGCTCACCTGAATCAGCTCTGAAATAGACTCGGGTAAGTTAAATAATGCGTACTTCAGCTGTTCCATGAGGGTGATTGTGACAAATGCTTTTGTGGGATCCAAGACATTTTTTTTATCCATAAATAAATAGGCAGCAAAACATGTCACAGATATCTGTTGAAGAACATAAAGACATTTTGAGTCATATAACAGTCAACAATGCTAATTACCTCTAAGAAAATAGTAAGATTTTCAGTCAAAAGCAACATTGCCTTTAATGCCTTTGCTTTTTCAGAGAAAACAAGCACAAACATAATTATTAATTATTGATAGTTTCCAAAGAACTACAGTGAAACTACACATTCTTTATAGTTTTGAAAATTCATTTTGCAATATCCACATAAAATCTAAATAAATTTGTTTTATTAGTAACTAGCATAGCTTCTTCTCGTTGAAAAGAAATCATATTATAATTGCTTCCAATTATATTTAAAGTACTTCACGGCTCTTGCTCCAGAGATGCAAACATGTATCGGACAGCGTTTAAATATTTTTGAGTGGTAGTCTTTCTAGTGTGTGAGTTATGGTTTAGTAAGCTTTTTATTTCCACTACATCTAAATAATTCAAAGGCGTATGTAATACGCCACTTCGTTACAGTTAAGCCGTGTTTAGCGTTTTAAAAACTCGGCAAAATGAAGTCTGCCAACTTTCTACATTTTTTGTAGAAACGAAGTTTAGTGGTACCTAAGTTTACATTTTAATGTATTACTTTTTATTAACCTGAACATATTTTCCACGCCACTACACATAATGATTTAAAAAGTTCATACGCAAACCCACTTGTTCCAACTCTATCAAGTTCTGTTTTTAATATAATGACAAAATTACCAAAACTTCTGAAATCTTTTTTTTAAATGTATATAAAATATTTTACAAAAAGCGTAGTAGTTGGCCGACCTTTTTACTATCAGCTCAGTGTATGGAGACTTTATTACTATCAGCTCAGTGTATGGAGACTTTATTACTATTTTCAATAACAAATTTTTTACCACTGTGCAATTTTGCCCAGATACAGGTCTGTCTACTACTACGCTTTTCATAAAATATTTTACAGAGAAGTAGACGTTTAGAAACCAGAGATCGCAGAAATTTTTCCAATTGCGTCAACATTTCAATAGCCTCATAACAACAGAGTTGGAACAAAGTACTTACCTACGTTATTTACAGAAATTGGGTACCTAGGCCGCGCAGCGGCCCCTATCCCATACATCTAGAAATTTAAAAAAAATTTAAAGTAATAACATTTTGAATTTAGCAGTCGACAGGGTAGCTAATACGAAAATACAAGCACTTCGCTTGAGCAAATCTGACAGCTGAAAATCGAATCTAAATTGACACATATTGACATAAATAAATATAAACATAATTTGAAATATATATACATAAGTTGACATAAATATGTATTAACATAAATTGACACATATTAAATTTCTATATTTGACTGGCACATGTTTAAATTATGACATATATTGAAAGTCTAAAATTTAGAGTTCAATGTTGTTATGAAAAGTCCTGAATTGGGAAATAAAGACATCACTGAACTAGAGAGGTCTCCCCTCAGTAAAAAACGAATCACTTCTTCATTTCTTAGAAAGTCTTGGAGCTCCTTCACAAGTGATACGAGTTTGTCTGCTAATTTAGCTGGTGTGGAAGCAACAGCATTAGGGCCCTTCCTGGTGGGGTGAGCTTCGCATCCCGTGTAGTTTGCGGTGTGATTTTTACCACAGTTGCAGCACTTTGGAGGTGTGAATCTATCCTTTCGACACTCGAAGGATCGGTGATGATCCGCGCATTTCACGCATCTAGGAGGTGCATTGCATATCCGTTGAGCGTGGCCGTATTTCTGGCATTTAAAGCACTGCAGCGGTCCCCGACAGCCACGAAAACGTTCTACTCTGACCGGAATCCGCTGAATGTCTGTGATGGTGAATATTTGCCGGTGATTCTCCGCTTCTCTTAGGATTGTGAGGGAAGATGAGAGGAGCCTATGGGCCCCGCTCACTCTTCTCTTAAACTGGATTACACTGTGGGTTTCAATGTCCAATTTCCCTCATTCAAGGAAAATATTCTCTGTTTTGAAGTCAGCGGGTAGTCCACGGATTAAAACTTTTGTAAACTAGATATGCAGCACTTTCTCTGGTGTTGTGGGAGGATCAAGAGCTTTTTGTTGGAATCCTCCTTGGGTGGAGCTTTGTTGGAATTCTCTTCGGATTCTGATGGTGCTAAGATAGTGGCAGTCTCTAGTGGTGAAGAAAAGCAGCTATTTGTAATCGTGGATGCGAGATTATATTCAGTTTTTTTTTTCTTTTTTTTTACATCAGCTAGCTTTTTCTTCTTCTTTTTCCTTTTCTTTGCAAGAGGTTCCGTGTTGTTTTTTGCTGATATTTTCCGAGTCAGAGGTCAAAACTTCTATTCTTTGTTCCATTTGCTGGTCTCCGTCGTTGATTTCCATAATTGGGCCGTAAGCTGATGAAGTCGGCTTTTCAGGCGTGATTTGTTCAGGTACCGGAAAAAAATTGGCTGAATAATAAAGTTTTACAGCACCTTCGGGCACTATAAAATCGCGAAGTTTCCTTTTTTGGAATAACAATGAAAGTGTCCATAATCAGATTCAAAAATTTCACTTGACTTAGCGTTTGGCTTTATGTAGTTGGGATATATCACAGGTACTTCAATTCTCTTGGTGGACGTGTGAATAATCTTGCCGCCATATCCGCAGCGTCGAGATAACATTTTTGCAGTAATCAAAATGAAATGGTCAAATCTAAACTTTACCTCATTTGCCACGTCCAGACATAATTGCAAGAGAATGAAATAGGTACTGCTCAATCGAAAGACACAAGTAAAATCCTGATCATCAAATGGTCGAGTCCACCAAGAAAAGAAACAGTCGACAGAATTTTTCTCCCTCAAACCATGACATGAGCTGGAACAGAGTACCATTGCATATGACCTTTTAAATAATTTTTATGTTATGGTGATGAGGAAAATAAAATTAAACGAATAATGTATAAAACATTAAAATAAAAACTTAGCTACCTCAAGAATAAATTTTTACTAAAAGCGAAGAATGTTGGCAGTCCTGCAAATAACTATATATATATACCCTATCCCATACATCTA